ACCTGCATCTTACATGTGTGTGCATATACATAGATGCAAAATGTGCATTTTGGAATTGAAAACAGAGTAAAAAAGGATATAGAATTAAAGGTTATGAAATGCTTATGCGCCTTTACACTCTTAAATTAGTTTTTGATTTTTGGTTACATATCTGAATGCAGTGCATGCTTACACACCTGTGTATATGTCTACAATGAAAACAGTACACTTGCATTCAGATCCATAAACAAAAAGTGCTTTGAATTGCATTTTTATGGTCATGTGCATGAGGCCCTAAATGTATCTAAAAGCAAGCATTTTACTGATCATTTATGCAGGAACTTTTGTGCCAGAAAACCTTGTGTATTTGATCAGTATTCTTACAGCCGTGTGCATGTAGCCAGATCTCATGTTTCATGCAGTGTAGGTAACACTTGCCAGAAGAACACTGGCTTAAAAGAATCCATTCATATGACGCCATCACAGACTTTAATGGATCTGCTACAATATACTCATTGCACTGCAGCTTTTTTTTTTTTCCAATGTTTTTCTGTTAATAAATTGTTTTGTAATGGTCTATTGCTTAATGCAGTATTAAACCCAAAAACATAAATGTAATAGATTGCAGCTTACCATATAGATGTGGTGGTTCCCATCGTTTCCTTCAGTCAGTGTTAAATGGTTTGTCTCAAGCCTCTAATTGCCACTTTTGCTGGACAGCTTAGTCTGTTAAGGAAAGTTGAAAAATACCAGACTTACTGGCCTGATCACCAGGTGAACATAAAGGGGAAAAAAAACTAAAAAAGAAAACTATTGCAGTCACTTCTAAGAATTAGTATTCTGCAGTGTATAAGTTTTTTGTTGTTGTTTTGTTTTTTTTTTTTGGCTTATTATCACTTTGTGGGGAGTTACTTTAGGCCTGGTGATGAGCCCCCAGGAACACTTGCTGTGTTAGAGTGGAGACTCTGGATGGAGACTCAAAAGAGATACCTTTTGACAGCAGCATTGTCGCCCCGTGGGGGATGGTAGTGTTAGACAAGCAAATTTATTAGATGGGCTTGACTAACAAATTAAAGTTGAACTCAAGCTAACTCTTTTTAGCAGTTACAGAAAACAGTTTTTGTTCCTTTTTGAACAAAGCTTTTTACATAAATGAATAAAAGCCGGCCATTGTAAGTATCCCTTTCAGTGTTAAATGGTTTGTCTCAACACTTTAATTGCAACTTTTGATAGACAACTTGGTCTGTTAAAGAAAGTTAAAAAATAACAGACTTACTGGTCAGATCACTGGGTGAAAATAAAGGGAAAAAAAACAATACAGCAACCACTTCTAAGGATTTGTAATCTGCAATATATTAATTTTTTGTTTTAGGGTTTAATACCACTTTAATGAATTTATAGGATAGCAAAGGTTGCTATAAACTGAGGTGAATGTGCATATGCTCCCTGCTTGTATACAATAATAGATTAAAATTACCAGTCAGAATAATACAAATTGTTTAAAACAAGGCCATTTTGTGTGATCATGTTCAATGCATCTAATAAACATTTTTTAAGAATAATTGCCAATTTATTTAAATAATTTTTTTTGAGCTTGTACAGTAGGATCATTTTTAAGATTCTACTAAATCAGGAGCACCTTTGAGCACACAGATTACATAGTTGAGGGGCTGGTAGGATACCACAATAACCACTTTAGATCAAATCTAGGACTAATATAATATTTTTAACCAAACAAAAATGAATTGGTCCAAAAACTGTAATGTTACAGTATGATGACACAATAAATAACAAATGGATTAAAAATGAGCTAAAATATACCATGTTTCAAAGCTGTATAAATGCATACAGTGTATCATCTCCATATCTCGAGGAGACCCGGGGTACCCATTAGAAGACCTGGGGCATGTGCTTTGGATGTCAGGGTCTAGCAACGCCCCTGTTAATTAACTTAAATAACTAAATATATCAAATGTAATAAATATGGTTGGAAAATGCCTGATGTTTTGCTAAATGTAAATATACAAGTTATCTAAATAATGCAACTGTGACATTGTAACATTGTTGCATAGAAATATTTAGCAATATATATATATATATATATATTTTTACATCTTAAGTTTTTAAAAATACTTTTTATATTTCTAAATCTTTTTTAAATAGTACTAAATTTTACCACATAGTGAAAAAAATCTAAAAATCCAAGCACTGGAAAAAAAAACTGTCCAGATGCAACTAAGCTCAATATGTGGAATGTCTCACTTTATTGTTGTTATTATTGTTGTTGTTTATTCACCCATGAACTCGAGGGCTTTTGTTAGACATTTGTTGAAATACACACTTGTGCTATTCAATTACAGCACTTACATATGATGGAATTGCAAAGTGCACTAGTGTGTCCACAAACAAGAATTAGCAATGCAAACTGCAATTAAGAATAGACAGGTCTTACGATGGAACCGCCCTTCTGTCTGCAATTTGTTAGATCGTAATTAACCCTGTTCACAGGACAAATATCAGTAATGACACCCTGCACCCTTTCACACCACCAACTGTCCATCCTGAACACCCTTCACCCACGTCACCCAAAGTGACAGCATTTCCAAGCATCTGCTCCAGCTCCGGGCACACCACGACAACTCTATGAGAAGCTGACACCGCACAATCCACACTTCCCACACCTACATAGAAAAGTGCAGCAATCGTCTGATATTTGAAATCAGCCCGAAATATCCATCATTAGAACGGCGTGCTGATATAACTGTACTTGTTTGAGAACGCTGCTATAATACTTGACATAAATTAATTCTGAACAAGATGGCATTTCTTAACTGGCATCAGTGAAGTGCCGAGGAATGACAGCTTGTGATACACGATCACACCTATGGAGGGAGCTATTGCTCTATGAAAGACAACCAACAGAACAGGCTGTGCTGAAGGTGCCACGCTGACACACACATACCAACCAGAGATATATATATATCTATATATATATATATATACACACACATACACACATACCAACCAGAGATATATATAAGGGCACACACACACCAACCAGAGATATATATAATATACACACGCTGACACACACACACACAACCAGATATATATATATATATATATATATATATATATATTTATATATATATAAATTATATTTATATATTTTATTTACATATTTACATAACACACATACCAACCAGATATATATATATATATATTATATACATACACACACACATACCAACCAGAGATTAATATATTTTATATATATATATATATATACACATACACACACACACATATACAATTTTATATATATATATATAGTTCAGAATCTCTCTGTTATTATACTGCATGACTGCTTAATTTCCACTCCTATAGCTTCCCTCTACATATACAAATATCACCAAAGCCAGCCAAGACATTGATTTCATTAGCCTTGTTGCAAACGCATAAACACTGACACAATTAAAAGGATATATCATGTAAATTGAAATACATACAAAATTATGTATTCCTCTGCAATGTCTTTTTTTAAATATTTAATAATAAAATTGAGAAAACTGACCCATTCTAGGGATGAGTGTAACATCTCCAGTTTAGTTATTAATCTGGTTACCCAGTCGGTCCCACAGCCATCCAGCCAGCACCTGCTTTGTTAAGTTCAATCAGTGATCCATTTGAACATCTCCAGACAATTAGCTGATGAAGAGATATCTATTTTGCCGTGTTTATCAGTGGCCTCACATTTGATGGGACCTTTATTAATATTTGATTTCGAAATCTTTTCTAGCTTCCGACAAAGTGCCTGTTTGGGTCTAGCATTGTTTGAATAGGGCGTCCCCACATTATTTCTTAATGACTTCCCCAGCTGCCTCCTTTCCATTTTCTGCTATGAACTACCATCTGGCGTCTTATAAGCACCTCAATGCTTGTTTAGTGTTCTCAATTAGAAATAAAAAAAAAATAGGAAACATTGAGAATATTGCAGGTTTTTAACAGATTGTGTTCGGAAGATGAATGTTTAAAGTCATGCGTCCGCACACACTTCGGCTTTATAGCACTTCTGTTTTGCTAAGCTCATCCTCAGCCCCTTATATTCTCATTAAAATCCCCAAACTGCACACACAATTAGCGCTGCTACTTTCGCAGCCTCTCCAAATCAAACTTACTGCTCTTCCCCTTCCCTTGAGCCATAAAACTCTGCTACCTTATGAGCTGCTTAGTTAGGTGTTAACTACCCACTCCACAGGGATTAGCTCAACAATTGTCTTTAAAATGCCTTACTTAAAATCTATACAGTTAAATTGTAATCAATATCAGAAAGACAGCAGTTAGGAAAAAAAAAGGCGATTCAGAGAAGTTAAAGAAAAAAAAAACCTGAATTGCGTGAGGGTTGAAAAGGAATTATACAAGAGAGCAGATTGTTCCAACTGCTGCATAAGAGTAATCACCATAAACTACAGCGTGACAAATTGTTTCAGCGTATCCCTTTCACTTCATAATGACTGGCATTAAAATGGAAATTGTCTGCTTAAACAAAGGGTAAAGGCAAAAAAAGCAACTGGGACCGATATCATCTGAAAGCGTTAAACATAACTTCACTTCATTTTAGGACCAATCTGGTTAGGGAGGAAAAACTAGAAAACATCGAATCGTATAGATTAGAATTTCATTTAGTTTATTAGACAAAAATATATGTTTTAGACAAGTTTTGTTGACGCGCTATTTACAGACTTCAGACCACGTTATATACAGAAAAAAACAGACATTGGGAAAACAGGTTACCAAAAAAAAAACGAATATTCCAAGAATTGTTTAGAATGACTGGTTCTGAATCGGTACAATGGAGACAAATCCATCTACAGATTTATAAATGTTTTTTTTTTCTGGTGGGGTGGAGGGAGGGAGGGTAGGGGGTATACCGCCTTATTGCAAAAAGAGTCATTTATGTGATACTCATTATAGTCCATAATGTTTAAACAGTCTCTTAATCACTGCTGAGGATTCAGCAATCAGGCTGTAGGAAGTGCCGTTAATATGCGAGCTGTTCCTTCTTGTTGTGTCAAGGAGCTGAAAATGACAGGAAAAAGGTTAATGTTACAATAAATAAATAAAACAAACAAATAAATAACAGGCTATGCTTTTTGTGCATAATTGCCATTTTATTGTCATTTCACTTTTAGGGTACTTTCTAAAACTTTTTAAGGTCAGTTTTAAATAGAACATATGTGTGCTAGCTATGCATTCAGTCAGTTTGAATTCTAATTACACATACCATAACATATTGACCTATAGAAGTGTTCAACTTACTTTTCTCTGGCAGCCTGAAATGAGGACTTCAACTGTGTAGGGGAATCGGTACTTGGGACATTTTCTCTGTCTGCGAGAAAGGAAAGAAAGCCATGAATGTACAGATATATCTAGGATGCACATAAAGCACATTACCGACAGTGAACATGTAGATCCTGTGCACTAGACCTAGTATACAGGTAAGCTGACAGTACTACTAGATAAATAGGAAATGAAGAATTGTTTGTTTTATTCACCTGTATGCTTGGGACTGGTCCTGTCTGTGCTTTTGTCGCTGCTGATGGACCCCAAGTTGGCTGTTAGGAGAGGTGCTTGCTGGTGGACCTGGAGGTGGTGGTGATTGTGATGAGAAGCGTGGTGGTGGTTTACTCCTAACAAGGACCTCATATTAATCAGAGAACTCTGAGTAAGGAAAGCACCGTTTGTCCAGTTGTGGAATTTACCAATCTGGCATGTGTATAGTCCATGGCTGGGTAAGAAGGCCGGGTGTTGGATGGGTGGAGAAACTGTGGTTTACTTGAGGAGGAGAAGGAGAGGACTTGAGGGCACCATCAGGACTGGTCGCCGTCTCTGCCAAAGACCAGATTTTAGGTTTGCTATGTGGTGACGCTTGTAAATTCCCCTGTCCGCCGGGACTCACGATTCTGGTATTATTGCTTTCAGAGAGTTCTTTCGTTAATGACAAAGAGTCTTTTGATTTAAGTCCATCAGCCCCTGCCAACAGGACATCGCTTTCCTTTTTGAAACTTTCTTTATCGCTCTGTCTCAAGTGCTCAGGCTTGTCGTCCTCGTCTTCGTTGCTCTGTTCCCCATCGTTATCGTCTATTTTATCAATGTCTATGCTTTCCAGGTCGATCTCCTCGTCGTCTTCATTTTTGTCATGGTCCCCTTCGGTATCACTCCCAAAGATATTGTCATCTTCTTTGCTCCTGGAGCCCCAGGTCACCTTGTTCTCTTTCTTGAGCCTCCTCCTGGCATTGGCAAACCAGGTGGAGACCTGCGTGAGGGTCATCTTGGTGATGATGGCCAACATGATCTTCTCGCCCTTGGTGGGGTAAGGGTTTTTCCTGTGCTCATTCAGCCAGGCCTTCAATGTGCTGGTACTTTCCCTGGTGGCGTTTTTTAGGCCGGCCTGGGTCGCCATACTGGAATTGTCCATATGGGTAATAACCTGGGGCAGTATGTGCAGCAAAAGTGGCAGCGTGGACACCAGGGTTATCTTTCAGCTCATACTGTGATCCCTGAAACACATACAAAATATACCACTCGTTAATTAAAGGAATTCATATTTATTTACTCATTTTGTTTATTTTCAAATTTGTCATTTACTTGTTTTCATAATAAAAAAAAAATTATTTTAGTAGTATATAAAAAAAAATCTACTTTTTCTAAACTACTGTGCCTCAAATCCCAAATGCTTAGCCTTCTATGAGTGATACAGACTCAGTGGCTTTCTTGGGATTTGCTAACCTTGGACATTTTTCGACAATGCCTAGAAACTGCTAATAAGGGTCTGCACGATTCGAACATATTTCAAGTTTAAACTGACCTGCCACTCAACAAATACCGTGTAAATGTAGAGAGAACCTTTCCTTCCAGGACTTTGCCTAGCCCACATATCACTCCAAGCACATTTCTGTTCTATATGGGACTAAATTATACCAATGCAAATCTAAAGCATAGATCAACAGCAGCCCAATTCCCCTAAACAAACAATAAACAGAATTTAAATTCTAGTTTGCACAGGTGCGGTTAGACTGCATGAACGAGGGAAACGAAATAGTTTTATATACAACAAATAATAAAAAAGAAAGCAAGGTGGAAACCCGAATAAGAAAATAATATGCAGACATTGGATGTTAAATGTTGACTTGGTTACAGTTCGTTGTTTGACTGACTCATACGTTAAGCACACAGACTTTTGTCAAGTTTGTCTTTGATCCTGGAGTAGATCACTTGCTAGCGCTTTTAAAGGTGGCGATTTATCTTCCTATTTTTTTTTATCCATAACAAAACAGAGCGTTAAATGAACTCATTTCGGTAATAAGATCGCTGGGCCTCATTATTACTATAAACGATCAGCTACAGAAATCAGAATGGGATTCACTAGTTCCTAGTTAGCCCTCCATACAGGGGATTATTTGATAAATGACACTTTACACAATCACAGCCTTGATTACATTGATCCAAATATATTTTAGTAGGTTTTTTTTAGCCTATTTAGAGGAGCACAACATAAATGTAAACACCCACATTAGCTTTTTTTACTACATTTTCTCACGTTCAAGTTTTGTGACTTATCTAGGCCTCTTTATCATTAACCATTAAAGTACACTGACATCATTAGACACAATATCTGGGCCGCTTTGCCCAGCCTGCTTTTCAACACTTGTATTTTACTTGTTTGCTTGCTGCTAATTTTATTGAAGTTATTCGGAGCGTCCTGCAGAGAATGTTTAAGAGGACACTTATAAATCTTTCAACACGTCATTAAAAAGCTTAGAGTATATTATCTAAACACACAGAGCAAGTCAGCATCCTTATACATATTACATGCGAATTATACAAGACAGCGACATTTCATTAAGATGCATTAATTAAATAGGTCATTGACTTTCAATGTGGCGAAAAAAAACATAATAAGGAGGTTTTGTTATTTTAATGTTCCTCATCAAATTCATGGTTCAGAAATGCACCCTGCTTATAACTCACAGCTTAGAAATGGACTAAAGCTAAAGAGCTAACAATCATATCATATGAAAAAAAAAAGTATATAATATATTATATATATAATTATAGTTATATTTTTTTAAAATACACTCTCTGGTAAAGCTAACAGCTAACAAGCTCATAATATATATATATATATATATATATATATCACACCACAATTATAATTCATAGTATATAAACATACACACACACACCATGCTTATTATTAATAGTTATCAGGTGCACTTTGTAAAGTTAACAACCATATGAATGTCTGTGTATATATTTATATTTATATATATATATGTGTGTGTGTGTATATATAATATATATAATAAATATATATATATATATTATATACACACATATATATATTGTAGGCACTATGATTATAACATCATAACTTATAGTTTTTTCTGAATACACTATCTTGTAAAGCTAACGAACTAACAATCTCATAATATATATATACACCACGATTATAATTCATAGTATAATATGCTCATCACATATATATATTCTCTATGTGAATGCACTATATATTGTAAAAAGCTAACGAGCTAACAATCTCATTATAAATAGTTATATATGCACCACGATTTTAATTTTATCATTCATAGTTTACAAATGCAAAATTAAGGAGCTACCAACAATAAAAAAAAAGTATGTTTATATATATACATATAAATCTATATATGTGTGTGCAAATAAATGCTGCATGCTTAGAATTTATAGCTTATAAATAGGCTAACTTGTAACACTAAAGAACTAACAAATCTATTTATCTACACTTTTTATATTTTATATATATATAAATATATATATATATATTTTTAATTTTTTTTTTACGTGTGTGTGTGTGTAAATAAATGCACCATGCTCGTAATTCATAGTTTATAAACGCAGCAACTTGGCCATGTAAAGAGTTAACAAATTATCCATCTATGTATCCATCTATGTATCCATGTATTATCTATGTATCCATGTATTATCTATGTATCCATCTATGTATCTATGTATTATCTATGTATCTTTCTATGTATCCATGTATTATCTATGTATCCATCTATGTATCTATGTATTATCTATGTATCTTTCTATGTATTATCTATGTATCCATCTATGTATCTTTCTATGTATCCATCTATGTATCTCTATATATCTCAGTATATCTGTCTGTCTGTAGCATGCTTGTAACCCACGGCTTCTAAACACAGTGACTTGTCCACCATCTAAAGAGCTAACAATCTATATAAAGTCATGTAAAAGCAATGAGGCTGGGGAGATGGTGTTGCTGTTGTAACTCCATGCAGAGATCCCCCCCCCCCCAGGGATACAAGCCCAGTGGCAGTAGAATGGAGGATTCTCTAGTAAGTTCCAAGCAGTGTAAAGTGTTTGTGTTGCATCAGCACTGACCCAGGAAGTAGAGAAAGTGCTTTACGTTGCAATGTGGGGACGAGTGTACTTTGTATGAGGAATGAACACAGTCAGACAAAGTGGGTCTCTCTGAGTGAGTTGGGCCCTTGTGGGGTGCTGGGTAGGAAGTTCCAGAGGTGAGGCTGGGCTGAGTGTGCTATTCCCCTGGGAAGCTAGCTGTTTTCTTGTCTTGGAGGAAAGTTTGTCCGATGTGTGTTTGTCTGCCCTGGGTGAGCCCATATCAGGTAGGATGGAAGGAGCCGGCCGCATGGAGGGTGTTGGGGGTACTTACCATCTGAGAGAAGAGGGTGAGGTCGGTGGTGTAAGGCAGGAAGGCGCTGTAATTGGGGGCGCTGTAAGGAGCGGCGTACATGCCCAGCACTGAGGTGACGGCGGCCGCAGAACTGCTCCCCAGCTCCGCTCCGCTCGGCCTCCCGGATCCCGCAGCTGCCGCCGCTGCAGCTGCCGCCGCCGCCAGGACTCCCGGCCGGTCCCCTCCATAGACGGCCGCCTGTCCGGCGCTGAGGTACTGGGGGTAGCCCAGCTGTGGGAAGGACATGTCTCTCAGGGACCGGGACTCCCTCTGTGGCTGTGTCCGTCACAACGCTGGAAGAAGCAGCCCAAGGTGTCGGCCAACAAAGTGAAGTGGTGTGTCGGAGAGCTCTCCTCTGCCTCACTAATGTATTCTGTGTGGAGGGAAAGGAAGAAGGGGACTGAGCCGTGCAGATTCGATAGGGTGCTCCTCTTTTTGTGTGTGTGTGTGTGTCCCCCTCAAATCTCGGCTCTTCTGTGCTCCTAAATCCCTCAGATGTGATCTGATCAACAATTGAGCTCCAACTGATGTGTCTGCCCTTAGGTCCTGGGCTGATCTTTCAGATACAATTTGAAGTTGATGCTTTGATTGGCATCCACTTGAGCTCCAGGCCCCTCCCCCTTTGCTGCATGTGGCCTGAGCATTGGCTGGGGCCACACCACTCTGGGAGCGGAGACGGGATGTTTGTGTGGATGGCGGAGGAGGCTCTCCCCCTGCCTGCCTGACTGCCTGCCTTCCCTTCCCTGGATTGGGTCTAGTTCATGTTTAGCAATGGGTTCCTTTCACAGAAGCCCCCACTGCTGTATGACAACCTGTCTACACGATTTTACAGCTGTCCAACATTGGGCTTTTGCTGTTCTCGGTCCATACTAGGTCCCCTTTAACAGCAACAACTGGGCGCCTTTTACTTTCTGTCTTTGCCGTAAAGCTGAGAGAAGAGGGCGCTCAGAGCACTCGACTTTTCCCTTCTACTTTTACTAAGATGTCTACTGCTTGGAGCACTGCAGCTTCTCCAGACGTAGGGACAAGGACTGTCCAGTGCGGGTGGATGGGATTTATAGTCTTTAGAGACTCCCAACCCCATACCTGTGCTGTGTTCTCTGCCTGGGCACTTGGCTACATAGAACACCTCTAATAATCAGGGCACATCCAGCCATAGTGAGTAAAACAAATACGCATCACATGGCAACACTTCTGGCGTTTCTACATTTATATTTCATTAGAGCTCAGAGTTGTCAGCAAACACTGCACGTGTATTGTGTGCTAATCCCCAGCCAGGATGATCAAAGGATGAGGAACCCCAAAATCCCCCAGGGGTCACATCTCACACAACTCCAAGCCTGCACTTCAGTCCTAGCTAGGCATCCCTCTATCTATTGTCTATATACCTCGTCATCTACCTACCTATCTATCTACCTATCTATCTACCTATCTATCTATCTATCTACCTATCTATCTATCTATCTACCTATCTATCTATAATCTATCTATATCTTTCTTTCTTTTTTTCTTTCTTCCCATATTCTTTTATCTATCCATCCATCTTTCTTTCTTTCTTCCTTTCTTCCCATATTCTTTTATCCTTCTTTCTTTATTTCTGCCCATATTCTTTTAGCCTTCTTTCTTTCTTTCTCTCTTTCTTTCTTTCTTTCTTTCTTTTTCTTTCTTTCTTTCTTTTTCTTTCTTTTTCTTTCTTTCTTTCTTTCTTTCTTTCTTTCTTTCTTTCTTTCTCTTTCTTCTATCCTTATTTCTTTCTCTTTCTTCTATCCTTATTTATTTCTCTTTCTTCTATCCTTATTTCTTTCTCTTTTTTCTATCCTTATTTCTTTCTTACTTGTTTCTTTCTATGTATCCATTATCCATCTATTGATCTCCCTATCGATTGCTCTAACTATCTACATTGCAGTATATTACATGCTCCCCTGTTTTATGACATGCTGAAGCACCATGCCTCCTGTAAGTAAATACATGTATTTTTGTTAGGTCACCCACACCAATACATTTCTAAAGTACACAGTATATCATAGGCTCCTTTGTTTTATGATACGGCAAAGCATCATGTCTTATATAGTTAAATAGATTATTTTTTATTAGGGAACCCACTCTAATATATTTTCTAAAGTGGATGGGATACTACACACACAAGCCAGTTTTACATGTTAGCACATCATGTATCATGTAAGTAAATACAGGTAGTTCCGTTAGGTAACCCACACTCACGCATTTCTAAAGATGATTTATTACACACTACCCTGTTTTATGATATGTTAAAACATTCCATCTCATGGAAGTACATTTCTACATTTTTATTAGGTAAAACACACGAATACGTTTCTAAACGACATGGTATAATAATTCGCTACTCTGTTGTATATGTTAATGTCTCCTATAGTTTAGTCATTTGTCTCTGTTGGGTTACCCACACTAATAGATTTCTAAAATTCTTGGTATATGCTTCCTTGGTCTACGATATATTAAAGCATCATGTATCACGTAAATAAATACATTTCATTCCGTTAGGTAACCTACACCAATCCATTTCTATAAAAAAAAAATGCTGATTTTCATGTAATACTGTAATCGTTTATTTCACAACTCCAGGTAGCATTGTTTGTTGAATACACTATGAAATCCCCTCAAACGCCTAATATAGGCTTGATTTTTCTTTCTGAAAAGGTATAGAATTGCCCCAGGGCCATTTGAAGTTAGTTGGTGTGCCTAGACTTATTGAATGATTGCTTTTGTAAACAAAGCTCTCTACACTTAGATACACAAGAGTAACTATATAAATAGCATGTCAACCTTTTATTCCCTAACCCCTTTCAGTGTCCTTTGTCAGATTGTTCTCGGGATGTGTCGCTAGTTTGCACCTACACAGGCAGCTCTCTCTGTGCCAGCAGACACTTAAATGTCCCCAGATTAACACGGTGAACTGTCCCAGAAAATGACAACTTGTGTTTTCCAACCTGAAGGATCTCATTACAAGGTTACAGGTAAGTAAAGGTGGGCTAAGTCCATGGAGGCTGCAGAAATCTTGTTAGTGCTCAGATGTTGGTGGAATGTTCATCCACAGGCTTAAGGACATTAATGTCTCTTTAGTGTCACAGATCTTCACACCACAGCCTTAGAAAACCGCTGCCTGCACATGTCCCTGGAACATACACACTTATTAAAAAGGACTTTACACGACTTTTCACAAATCCGCCTTGTCAAGCAGTATTTTCTTTTCTGGTGGCTGAAATTTGGAAAAATGGAAGTTTTTCTTAAAAAATGGTTTTGCCTCAGCAAACTTCTCAGGGTAGTGGCGAAAGCTAATACTGAGTTATTGTGAATTTCCAGATACCTTCAACAGAAGCTGGGGCATGCAAATCCCAAATTGTCCCCTTTATTACTCAATAAGTCTGCCCAGATGCCATTTCTGAAATAAACTGTCCTTTTTTTTAAGATCTCTCCTCTTTTTGTGCCATAAGCCTGGACCAGAACCAGTGTAGTAAGCTACTTAGGTTGAAATGAGCTTAGCATGGTCATCTAGCGCTTGCCTTCCCCAATGCAAACTTTAGCGCAGTCTGCTGGAACTAATATGTGCTTAACATTGTCAGAATAAATGGTCAGGAGAAAGACACCTAGAAGAATTTCCATGTTGCTTTGGGGGGGGATATAACACACTAGACATTTGTGTTTTCGTTTTGTACATTAAGGTAAATCCATATTTTCATACAACCATTGTCTAATAGGTTGCATACTCTGCAGACCTGAAAAAAAAAAAAGTCTGCCAATTCATTAGCTAAACAGACTTTAGCGACAAGAGCAGTCAGTCATCCTGTGACTGTAGCAAATGACAAGCTGGGATGAGCAGGAAAACACAGTCACCTTTTTGCTAGAGAGATCTGATGAACATGCCTAAGAAAAAAAAAAGTCACATCAAATTGCTAACAGCGTTCCAATAATGTGTGATTATGCCTAGTGTAATTGATTGAAATAAATTGCACACTGTTTAAAAATACATTGACCTAAATGGTCAGACTTCTTTAATTTAAAGATCAGTAAGCAGATAGACTTGACTTAAAAGAGGGCTTCTCGCAATGAATTTGCATAAGATAGCGATCGCTGTAGTTTTCTCAAGGCGATGCATACACTGCCAGGAGATTTCTTTTTTTTTTTTTTTTTTTAAATTAATAACAAATCAGCTGAGATAAGGGTCCGATAAGAAATGCAAATTCAGACATAGGGGTCGCTGCTTGGCTGAATTGTAAACTAAAAAGGCTGATGCTTTCAGGAATGGGCTAAAGGTCTCTTTGTAAGAAAAGGATAAGCGAAGGTTTAGCAGCGACTCTAGTACAAAAAAAAAATGAAGTCAGTGATTTTGATCTGCTCCAGATGTCCTAAGAGTGGAGAGAGCAGCGCTGGGAATGTGCAGCGGGTATCTGAGTGCACTGATGTTAATCAGCAAAACAGATCAGCGAGGGGGGGATGGCAATTGTGATAACCTGCTGGAAATGTGCAGGGCTGGAGATGGCAGTGATAAACCGCTGAAAATATCTCCAAATGGAGATGGCAGAGATGGTGAAAGAAGACACCTAGCAGCACAGAAACAACATGCTTAGCAGAGCACAATTCTACAACCGGGATGGCTTAGCTAACACTTTGCTTTATTCATTATTACCCTTTGTGCAACAAACAGCACTTTCACATCAAAATAAACTTTTTATATTCACAACCTTTTGCAGCCTCGGATTATGGCACTGTTTGTCCTTTGTTTTTGCAGAAAATGAATAAAGTTACTACCAGCTTTACCTGTCAGTTATAAAGAAATATGTGACATTTAAAAAAATATATATTCTATATCAATAGGATGTGCTACAAATAAATGCGTATTTACGGAAAGCATAGCTAATCATCAGCCTTGTCGGGAAATAATGTGACCCTCCAAAATTTATTACACCTCATTAATAGAATTATTTACCTGCAACTGTCGTGGATAGCCTGTAATGTGGCAATTTTGCTGGTCAACCTTCACTTGACAGCAAGTAGCCTTTTCCTATTCAGTCCCCATTCATCCCTCCGGAGGTCTGATTTATGAGGCTTGTTAAATAATCATTATTACCTACCACCTTTTCCTGCGGGCTCTGGGAAAACACCCCTGGCTTTGGAACAACAACGCATGTGTTGAATAATTCTGGGAAACATATTCATTCATCTAAATATTCATTGTGCCTGCTCTTGTCCCCGTATTGCCCCTTCGTCCC